GAAAAAATAACCTGAATTTATTGGATTTTATTGCAATTTTATTATATTTGGTATAGGTTTCTATCACTTGTACATTGCCTATTTTAAACAGCATAGTTAACTTTTTGTAAGCATTAGCATTCAGCTAACCAGACTAGATTTCTCTCTAGATTAGCTAATAATACCTAAAACTATAGGCCAATAAAATCCAATGTACCATTATGTTTTCATCATTCTTTATTGAACATCAAAAAAGTATCAAAATATTTTTAAAAGCTTTTCAAAGCACAATTCAGTGTGTGCAGACACCCGTTCATTTGTCGCTCAATTCACATTATTTGAATTTATACAGCCAAATATTAAACAATCATAAGTTCAACACACAAACACACACATTTTAAAAATATATATATATATTCCAAAAATGACAAAGAGAAAAAACAACTTCATATAAAACCAACATCTCTGCATCTGAATATAAATGAAAGGCAATAAGAAGGATACAATCTATACAGTATTTGGATGAATAACAGCTTCTTGCCTATAGGTGGCGGAACAGAGATTAAACTGCATTGTGAACTTGGCCTATAAAGTCTGAGAAAAGTTGGAAAGATATGAATAAAAACAGAGATATAAAAAAGGTCTTTACACTCGAGAAAAATATGACAATTTAACATATAATGTGGCTTTGAAGGAGCTGAGATAAGGCCACTATTTACATTACTGATGGTTAGTTGATACAAAAGGCGCGTTCACACCGGAGTACTTTTCCCGTTTAGTTCCGTTAGTGCCTGGAATTTTGCGTTCACACCAAAAAGAGAACTTAGTTCAGAGAACTTTTACCCCCATGTTTAGTCCCTGCTAGAGAGGTGGTACTATCCTGGGGAGAAAAAAGTACCAATTTCGATTGGCTGGGCGAATTGCAAACCACGCCCCGTAAAACTCTGAAAAGTTTTGTGAAAGCCGCCATTGTATTTGCTGGCATTAGCATTATTAGCATTAGCATGATTAGCATTAGCCTCGCGCACCAACGCAGAGAGAATAACTTATGGCAACACAAAAAAAAACATGGGAGCGGTGGAGATGAGGAGGTGTCGGCGTTCTGGCGATTTACTCGGAAGGCTTCAGTAGAAGCTGCTGGGAGTCCCAGCAGCTTCTACTGAAGCCAATCTTCCAACCTTGCTTGCTAGATTGGCTAATGGTTACACAAGCCAACACATCGTTATGACATCATAAAGTGTCCAAAATCTGATCAGCTCATTTTCCTGAGACTGCCAAGGCACACANAAAAATGGAAAAAATAAAATGTATTTCCCATGAAGGCTAAAAATTGTGTATTATTTCAGTTAACAAACTTTGTCATCTTATTTAAATTGAAACATATTTTAAAATAAATTGTACAGTACATTTTGCTCTGGTAATCCACTGGAAATCCACCCCTTTGGTGGGATCAGGATAATCCAGTTTTTTGGGATCAAACTGATCCCAATCCTGTGTTGTCGGTTTGAACTACCCGTTTTGAAGATTTGATCCAGATTAAAGCTTGGATTGGATTTCCTGATCTGATCGGATATGAAAGTGATCCTAATCCTGTTTTTTGGTTTTGAACTCCCCAAAATCCAAATCTGATTTGATCAGATTTGGATTCAAAGTTTTGAACTCCTGGGCCCTGGGGCCGAGGGGAGATGTCAAAGAGATGCAGAATGACTAAGAGCAGATGTAAAACAACCATTGGGCTATATGGCTCATCCTTCAATTACTGCAAAAACAACCACCGATAAAAGTGAAATGACCACAAAGAGACACACAAAACACTGCAAGAGATGCAGAACAACCACAATGGGGACGCAAAACAACCACAAAGAAAAACAAAATCTATAAAGGGATGCGAAATGACTAAGATTAGATGTCAAACAACCATTGGGCTACATGACACATCCTCAAATTAACATCAAACAACTGCAAAGAGAGGGGAAACCAACTGTCAACAGTTGCACAATAACCTCAAAGAGAGACCAGAACGGCATCAAAGAGAACCAAACACTTTGAAAATACATAAAATGACTACAAAGAGAAGACAAAAAACCACCAAAGGACCCAAAATGACTTCAAAAATATGCAAAACCCAGATGTAAAACAACCACCAAGAGTTGCACAATTACCACAGAGACACAAAATGACTTCAAAGTGATTAAAATTAAGACCAAAAATCGTTTAAAAATAAATAAAATGAGTTCAAACTGACATGAAACAACCTCATACACATTTGTATAAACAAAATAAACCTGTAAAGCGACACAAAATGAGTTTCATGTGGTCTCATGATTTTCCTATGTTTAGAGGGGTCTGGTAACATTCAGCCACTGATGCATCAGAGCCCTCACAGGTGGCAGGGGTCCGAGGGCCGAAAAGAGAAGCCCCTGGTGGAGTTTATATGCATTTACGTATGTCCACAGTTCATACAAAGGTCCTCAGAGGATTAACACAGGGAGGCTCGCCTTTGGGTGCTACCTGACGACGGCCCCCTGCGGTTGCCATTTGTGTGTTTGTTTATTTGAGTAGGTTGCTAGAAATCACCTGTAGGGTTGAAAATACCAGCACTGAAGTCATTAATTGTATGTTTTGGGATTTAATGTTGGGTAATTTACTCGCAAACAAAAAGAGTGGCCATGCAAGAGACAGATATACGCTGTGCTGAAATGATACGCTATACTGAAAGGTCAGAGCAGAGTGGGTGGTGTGTGCAGTGAAGCAGGTTAGTGCCGTGTGACTCAGATATAATCATTGTTGCTGTTTTACTCCAGTTTAATTCAGCCTCCATGCCTCATCAATATTCACTTCTTGTTAAATATTTTACTATCTCTTCTCCAACAAATCTGTTATTGGTTTTTTAAGCTGTAATTTTGCTCAAATTCTTATCTTCTGCCCACGAGTCTGGCACCGTCTCTTCGAAAACAATTTGCCCATTAGTCTTAGGTATTAAAAAGGCAGCATGCTTTTTTTTTCCTACTCTAGATCTGGAGCCCCTCGTGTTTAACTCGTTATAAATGCTTGCGGTTTAAATCGTAACAGCTTATTATTTCAGAGAGTTCAATAAAGGAGTTAAGATGCTCCTTTATGGTTTGGTGCGTTTGTACTGTATGTCTCCAGCTAAATAGATTATGGTTATACACTAGTAAAACACAAATTGAAAAGAAGGCTTAATATTATTCCAGTAACACATATCAAAATGTGAAAGAAAAACACATCCCACACTACAACCTTAATCTGTTTCATCTTCTCTTCTCCTTTGCCTCTGTGCTAAGAGAAAAAAGGGAAATAGATCTTCAGCACTGGCATTAAAATGTCATGGTCAGCATCTGTGTGTGGGGGTTCAGTTGCTGGCTTCATTATGGTCTTATACTCCTGACGGCCACACACTTAATGTTCACAAATAGGTTTCCGGTGTGCTGCATGATCTTCCTCTGCCCAATGGTAAAGGGGCCCTATTATCTCTCCCTTTGTGTTGTGTGTTTTATAGGATTGTTGTGCATGTAAGACAAAGACTGAAATACCCAAATGTCCTGCCTGAAACGCCTCGATTGGACTCCTTTGTTTACTTCCGTAACATGATAAAAATCTCTTTGTAAGACTGGCGCTTCTTTGGCTAGCGCTAACACATTGTACGAGCGAAGGGGCGGGACATGTAAGCTGTTGACCAATCACAACAGAGCCGAACAGCTAACCAATCAGAGCAGACTGGGCTCTGGTTCCAGACAGAGCGTGAAAAGAGGTGCTGCAGCAACATTAAAGCATGGAGACAGTAGAGGCACAAAATACAAATACGAACCTGAGAATGAGCAGAATAGGGACCCTTTAAGCAATTCTCAACAAATATGATTCAACAGAATAAATATACTGTACAGGATGTGACATGTTTGCAGAGGTTTTTTTACTCCACCACCAACACAAGCCGGTGAGCAGCTAGAGGGATAAACACCGTTTGTTGCCAGGGGGATAATATTAGCAGAGCAGTAACCAATATGTCAAGTCAATAACCATATGCTGTCTGATGCAGATGTTTATAATATTCACTGTTGGTTTCTGGTAAATTATTGTAACAATTTAAATAAGCAACAACAGAACGAACAAAGATTGCAGTGCCACATTGTGC